CACGCATCTTTCTTTCTTGATGGCCTTCTCTCTCTCTCTCTCTCTCTCTCTCTCTCTCTCTCTCTCTCTCTCTCTCTCTCTCTCTCCCATCCTTCTCCTCCTCTCTCTCTTCCATTTTCTCATCTCCCTTTTCTCCTTTTACCACTTTCACCTTTTCCCTCTCCTCTTGTGCTCCTTCATCTCATTCGTTATCAGGGTGCGTTGTGTTTCGGGGAAGACGTGCTCTCTCTCTCTCTCTCTCTCTCTCTCTCTCTCTCTCTCTCTCTCTCTCTCTCTCTCTCTCTCTCTCTCTCCACCAATCCATATGATGACAGTGAATCTTCACCTACAACAGGGAAAGATGCACCGCCGTGATTTGGGTCCCTGTCCTTTTCTCGCAGCTTCTTTCGCCTGAATCAGCGAGCGATGTACTTGTATCCGAACGTTGCGAACACGGTGGCAACCGCACCTCGCAAAATGACAAAAGCGGCCTAAGAACGTCAGGACGCGGCATGTGCACCCCCCCCCCAAAAAAAAAGAAATGAAATGCACATACGGACTTTCACCACGCGTCCCACGGAAGAAAAAAAAACGCAAAACCAAAGTCGGGCATGCGGTGCCCGATAGTCTTGCCCCTCCCTCCTTCCCACCCCCTTCCCCCCTCCCCCCGGTTTCTCTTGGGGCCGGCGGGGGCGTTAGTTGGGTCCCGCTCCATCCTTTAGAAGGTATAGACAAAATATTGAAACTTCCAAAAGGTAAGGGGAGCAGAGTAGGAATGGTTCTAGATTCAGAAAGACTCAAGATCCCTACATAGTAGCCCTTTATGCCTCACTGACCTTCCTGACCCACTTCAGGACAACCCTTCTTCATTCGAAGAGGGCAGAAATGACAACCCATACAGAAGGTATATGACCCCTCCGACCAGCCTCTAAGTGGGCTTGGCTGCACTACTCACCACACCCCCGGCTTGCAGGGTGAGGACTCACCCTTGATCTTTACTCACCCCAACTCCTTGCTGCGGCACACACAACCCAAAGGGTCCACTCACTTCGCAGTGTGTATCCGGACTGCCATGCCGGAATGTGTGATGACTCACCCCAAAAGTTTCCAACTGAGTGTATCTGGTCAGCTATTGGATTATTGGGGTGATTAAAAGAGGACACGGTTGTCAAGACAGACCTTCTATAATGTCCCACCAGAACTTGGTCAGTGAAATTTTGATTTGGGGCGAGCAGTCACCCCACAAATTTTCCTATGTTCCAACATTATGCTCTTGTCAGGAGGTTGAGGTGCGCAAGTGCAGCGACGAAACTTGCCCCTCAACTGCTTTCGGGTAACTTAAGGTCTCGCCACACCGCTCTCGAAGTGTAAAAAAGACAAAAATGTGGCGGGTGCATCTGGCCATGTTCTAGCGGGAAGTTCATTCCCATTTTGCAGATTTCGAGTGTGGTGTGGCGATGTCCTTAGTAGTGCAAGGGCCATGCCCTGCTTGTTGAGGTTTACTTCTGCGGCGTGGTCCCACTAGCAAAGAGGATTGGATCGAAAGCCTGAATCTGGATGAGGTTATGGAGATGTGCAAGAAATCGAAATTGAACGACTTTTGTGCATCTCTGCATAAAACACATCCAGATTCAGGAGCTCGATCCTATCCTTTTTGCCAGTGGGAGTACACATGGCTCCCTGCCATCCCATTTGAAAATCTGACAACGATAATTCTCTCTTTCAATACTTATTTCCCTTATAAAAAAAAAGAAAAAAAAAGGGTTGCACCCTTCTTTTCTCTCTTTTCTTTATGCAAATAAAAAAGGGCGACGACCTTGAGATAACATCGTTGAACTGACCAGCCCCATGTAATTAAGGATTATTTTATTCTGTCCACATCTTTTTTTGTTCTTTTTTGTTTTTAAAGGCTAATTCTTTAAGCCCAACCAATTCAATTACCTGAAGAATTTGGACAGAACGGTCTTTCAGGCCTTTTTTATTGTCATTATAGTATTACGGGGACCCCCGTAGCAGCCACGTCCGTGCTCAAGCCTCCAACAAGGGAACATGCGGGAGCTGCACCCACCAGCAGGTGTGATACCTGCTACAGCAGGTGGGCGATACCGGCCAGGGGTCAGCCGGTAGCATTAGGACCGAGCTTCTTCGATGGGTCAGTCACTGTGTCTCCCCTCCAGCCCCCTTCCCTTATGAACATCAGCAGTCTCTGCTCAATGTCACTCGGGAGGGTGTCAAGCTTGCCCGAGAAGGTACATGAGGCCAATGGGAATTGAACCCAGGACCTCCTGAATGCAACTTGCTCACAGGTGGGACCAAGATACTTGCTACAGGAGGTGCGAAAAATTTGTTAAGGGAAAGAAAGACTAAGATAAACACACTAAGTTTTAAAAATGCCAAAATTAAAAATTAAAATAATAAATAAATAAATAAATAAAAGATATATAAAAAAATAAATAAGTAGATGAGGAGGTGAACAGAAATAAAGTGTCTGATTTTTTAAAAATTTTGGCAGCATTTCGTTACCCCAATGGGATCGAAGTGTGCCATCAAAAAGAAAGACTAAGTAAAATGAGAAAATTTCGGCAGCACTTCGTTACCCCTACGGGGTCAAAATGTGTGTCGAAAGCAAGATGACTAACTCCTAATCAGATTTAAGGGTGCCGCAAAGAAATTCAAATTTTCAGAAAAAATATATAAATAAAAATAAATCAAAAAATAAGAGAAGAAGGTGGGGAATGAGATAATTCGAATTTTTTTAAAAAAAAGAAGGAAATATAAATCAAAAGAAAGATACAAAGAAGAAAAACAAGAAATTTCGAAGTTGGGGGGAAGGGGAATGAAAAAGTGAAGGAGAAAGGGGAGAAATAGGTGAGAGAAAAAAAAAGAGTGAAGGGGGAGATGGGGGTAGTGATGGGGTTGTAGTTGGGGAAGAGGAGGGTGAGAGAATGGGAGAGAAAGGAATGGGGAAGGTGGGGAGGGATCAAGAAGCAAAGAAAAAAGGAGGAGAAAATAAATAAATAAATGAGTAAAGTGGAGTAAAATAGTGGGTGGTGGGAGAAAAGGTGGGGTGGGGAGAGGGGTATGAGTGGTGAGGGTGATTAGAAGGAAGTGAGTGAGGCAGAAGAGAAAGAAGTAGAGGGGGTGAGTAAGAGGAGAGAGAAAAGGAAGAGAAGGTGGGTTAGTAGGGAGAGGGAAGAAAGAGGGATGATACCTGACCCTTGGTGTCTCCAAGGGCACAAGGTATACCGAGATCAAGAGGGTCTTGGCCTTCACTGCAGCAAACCAACTGGAGGAGGGAGGGGGCTGAGATCTTGATCAGCCCCTAGCAGCAGCACTGCAGGTCCAGGGTGTGTTGTGTGAGCAAACCCTCACCACTGTAGAGCAACCCCTGATCAGGGGGTCTTCACGGTCCACAACAGATGCCCACGGGCACAAGCAGCAGCAGCCACAGTGTCTCCCCGCCCGCTGCTGTCGACAGGGGGGCAAATAGTTGCCTGCCCGCTGCTGTCGACAGGGGGGGGGGGCAAATAGTTGCCTGCCCGCTGCTGTCGACGGGGGGGTGGGTGGGGGGGTGTAAATAGCTGGCACGGCATGTCTTCAACACCACAGTGCCGCCTTACCAAACCATATGTACACCGTGGTGAGTGTGTTATGGAGGCACATATGCACGCGCATAGCCAGCAGCTGCCCAGTTTCAAACCCTGGCAGCAGCGTGCATCCCGGATCTTGATAAATAAATCCGGGAGCGGGGCGGGGCGGGGCAGCGTGGGCACATGGCGCGTGCGTGTGCATGTGCGGCGGCCTTGGTTGCTGCATATTCACGTGGCGCTGACGCGTGCGTGTGCATGTGCGGCGGCCGCCTTGGCTGCTGCACATTCACGTGGCGTATGCGTGTGCGTGTGTGGCGGTCTTGGCTGCTGCACATTTTGCCACGTGGCGCTGCCTCGCTGCTGCACATTTCACCAAGATTTCACTGTTTTTTCCGCTGCAAACGGCCAAAAAACAGTCGAAAACCCTACTGTCGGGTTTTGGGCGATTTCCCTGCTGTGAGGTGTGGTGGGTGGGAGCGCGGAACGTTCCCGCTCCGATACCAGTGTGGCGGACCCACCAGGTGTGGTGCTCCGCCTGGACAGAGATTGAGATGGAGGAATGAAGGGGGAGTGAGATGGCACAGCGCGGCTCCCACGCCAGACTCCAATGCATGTACTCCAAGATGTGCCGATGTAGAATGATCTCACAAACAGACAACAGGTGGGGTATACCCTAGCGGACTGACTGGACTGGACTGGACTGGCTGGTACCGACAGAGGTACCGACCTGGACTGGACGACCCCGAATACAACACAGGCCTGTGAGAACAGGCTAAGGGGCTGGTCTCACAGGCCAACCAGAGGTCCGCTACAGTGCCTTACCAACTGAGCTAGGCCGCTGGATTCTGTCCACATCTGATTGCATCAGGATTCTTCTTCTTCTTTTTTCTTTATCCGAGGTTGGTATAGAGGTCGGGTATTGACCCACCATCAGGATTCTAACTTGGGGTCGGTGTTTCAACAGTTAATTGGTGTACCAACTGAGAGCGTACTCACACTAGCTTTATCTTAAATGTATCTGACCGCATTTACAGCCTCGCCTGTATGCATCTGGCCGCAATTCCATTCCGAAATACGTAAAAAAGTCCTAGGTCTTCTCCCCTTTCCCCCCGCGTCCTTTCTTTTCTGTTTCTAAACCACCAGTACTTCCGAGTCACTTTTCTCCGACCCTGGGGATGCCCGAAAAAGGAACAGGCATGGGCCCATTGATGAAATTAAGTCCTACCGGTGTGAGTATGCCCTGAGCAAGCCACCTCGGTCTTCTGCCCTTTTTTTCCCCCCTTTCTTTTCTGTTTCTAAACCACCAGTACTTCGGAGGCACGTTTCTCCGACCTTGGGGATGCCCGAAAAAGGAACCGGCATGGGCCATTGATGAAATTTCATGAACGGCCACGACGAAGGCCCCGAAATCGGCAGTTATGTAGGCAAAGTACTGGTGGTTTAGAAGGGCCATGACCTTGAGATATCATCATCATTGAACTGACCAGCCCCAGGTAATTCCAAACCATTTTATTCTGGTCATCTGTTTATATATATATATATATACCTTCCTCCATATACCTTCCTCCAGTGGTAGAGGTGCTGATAAGAGCAGACACCACTAACACCCCGGGAGAGGCTCCATCTTTTGGTGGGGAGCGTCACCTGCTGGAAAACGGGTCCAATCTGGATTGAGCTTGGGTCTATATTTCGACAATTGGTGGGTGTACCAACTTGGGGGGGGTGGGGGTAGGCCAGTTGGTGAACCAGCCGTAGCAATCCCTGCGAGTGGCACCTCCCCCTGGTGGATATTTGTAGGTTCGGTCGATCAGGTAGGTTCGGCGGACTTCCACACGAGCAGTCGCAAATGAGGGACCGAGGAAAGTGGGACCTTGGGATGGTTCCATATATGTATGGGATAGATTTGGAGTGGGACTGGGACCCAGTCCCAGTTAATACGCCTATTCTTTGTATCTGGCCGTCTATCTTTGTAATTCACGGTCAGAAAGCCTTGCTCTCGCACACACTGCTGTGGTGCAAACCTACCCGGGCCCGTGGGCTGGGGAGAGCTCCAGGTTTGGTTGGTGGTCCCCACCAGTAGAGGATGAGATAGAATATATACAAAAGAAGATTGAGAGAAGAATACAGATTACTTGCTTTTTTTTAACTCGGGTAAGTGGGACCTGGCCCGCGGTAGAGATTTTGCTACCCTCTTCCCGGGAGCATAACGCACCCTCATTTTGGCTGTACGTGATGGGAAATATAGCTTGTATACATTCATTTTTTCAGGGTGCGTTATGCTCGGGGGAAGAGGGTAGGCTTGGCTCGATATAGCAGGTTCGGCAAAGCCTCTGCTTCGTGGGCGTGACGGGATTATCTTTTTCTTTTTGTTATTAAAAAATAAAAAATAAGTCCAAGGTTGTTTTAGAGGGGTGGAATTATCTTTTCCCCGCCCCCAGGGTAGATCTTTGTTGAAGGCGAGTATGTGGAGGAGGGTAGAGGGGGCCAAACGGAGATACTTTTTCTTTTTTTGGGGGGGTAAAGAGATATACTTTGTTGCCTCTCCTCCTCCTCTCTTTTTCCCCCCCCCTTGTCCCTCCGTCCACTCCCCCCTTTCCCCTCTCCTCTCTTCGCCCCCTCTTCACCCTCCGCCCCTCCTTTTTCTTTTTTTTTCAGAAAAAAAGGAAGTTGAGGATATTCTGCCCCCCCCCCCCCCCCCCCCCGACGACGGCTGCTCTCGGCCAGCGCAGTCCGTTCTGGAGGCTCCCGGCTTCTCTCTCCTTTGTCTTTCGGTCTGTCATCCTCTCGATTTTGCCGCCGCTTGTACGCTTGCTTAGCGTTTGCAGCGCGCCGATTCTGCATCTGGGCCTCGGTCATTCGAACGGCTAAGTGCCCTCTCTCCTCCCTCTCTCTCTCGCTCGCTCTCTCTCTCTCTCTCTCTCTCTCTCTCTCTCTCTCTCTCTCTCTCTCTCTCTCAGTTCGTTCTTTCTCCTCTGTTTGTTCCTGCTTTCCTCTTCGTCTTCGTTGGAACTCGGAGCTCCAGCGATGGCCGCCTCTTTGTCCGTCTCGTCGTTAGCGGCAGCTATGGCAGCCGCGACTGCGCTGGTCGCGCCATCTCCTTCGGGTAGCAACAGCTTCAGAAGTGCGGCTGTTGATGGACACGTGGCGTCTTGCTCGCCACGTGTCATGTCGTCGTCTTTCCACGTCATTGGGAGCGATCTGAGGCGGCCTCGAATCATCAGCCCGGCGCAGAGACGCTCGCCTTTCACCGTCTTCTCTGCTTCTTCGGTACGTGTTTTTTAAAATTTGATTTAATTTTAATTTATTTATTTGGACCGTTTCTCGATTAATGCATGTCATCCTTTTTTTCTTTTTTTATTTTGGGGGGGGAAGGGGGGGGGAGAAGAGCGGGGGGGAGGCGGAGGGGTCAAGTAAGGAGGGTCTGTGAATCGTTTTACCATTGATGGAATATACTTACCTCGGTAATAGACTATTCCATGCTCATCTTTTTTTTTTTTTTTT